GTTCGTGATTATTTTGGCTGAACTTTTCATTGTAATTTGGAGAGAATCGAGAGACTTAATTTACTGAGTGCAAGATGTGTAAAAAAAAATATATACAGTGAGATGCATCATTTGAATTTTATTAAATACTTTCATATTAAATATCTCAGTCTGTAAAAATTTAAAGGAACAGTAATCAGGTAATGAGTAAGATAATTGATTTCTTCATAATTCATGTAACTACAAATAGCTACATATTTTTGGAAAGATAATACTAGTCTTTGCCATTTGAGCAGGGAGAAGCGTACAGAAGATAAAGCCTTTCAGGTGAAGGAGAAAGTGGTCGGGGTATTTTAAGAAGTGAATAACCCTGTCCTGTGTGTTGACTTCAAGGTATTTAGAATAAACTACATGTAATACACTTTCAAAACTAAATTCTAATTGATCTAGTACTATGAGAAAAAATACAACATAATTCAATTTCAAGATATTTCTATATAAGAATGTATTAAATATTGTCATCATAATTTTTATTGTAGATATTGATCAACTATTCCTACAAGAAGAAGCATTTCCTAACAGGGTACCTTGGATGTGAGGCAATATAAATCCAAAGAACAACCAAGGCCTAGTTAAAAGCCACTTTCCTGCACATTCAGTCTACATTGTTTGCTCACAAAAGGACTCAAAACAAATTAACATTCTAAGGAAAAACTCTGCCAGGAAAATTAAGCTTAGGTGCCATATCCAATACTCTTATTACTCAGTTGTAGTGTTTTTTAATGTACTGAATAGGTTTATTTCAATAAATTCACAATTGTTTGAAATTTTTGTTTGTTTATTTTTTTCCTCCCTCCCTCGTAGGTTTTGAACTATGGAGGTGACGTTAAACGTAGAATTAACTTTGAACAGCCTAATTATACAAATATGGTAAGTCGTTTTCATTCCATGGTGTTAAAATTTCACAATATCTCAAAAAGTACTAATTGGGATGGTTTTAATTTCAGGCTGCAAGAAATTTATTCAAATTTCATATAAGCATTTAAACATTTTTAAAAACTATTATTATACCTCTACTGATTTTTCAGTATATAAAAGTAAATCGATATATTATGCTGATTTCCTTAAAATCACCGTGAATAAACCAATTCCCTGCAAAACAGACTGATTCCCTGCAAAAAAAGTACGTTTTTTTGATGAACTGATACACATCTATTCGGAACACTTAGCATTTTCTTTCAACTTAAGATAAACTTAGAAATGTTCCGAATAAACTCATGAATATTCATTAATGAATCGAAATGCATCGCGAGTCAACTGGTCCCATATCAATCAGAAAGAACCAGTTTACTGGTAGCAAATGACAACAGAAATGGCATTCTCAAGATTTGCGTAATGTTACTTTCCATTTTACTAGGTAAAAACTCGGACAATGAACTGATTTATTGATAAAATGGAATTCTATTCATGTGTGTATTCTGTTTTGTTGTTTTTTTTTTTTATTTCTGTTGGAATTAAACATTGTTACAGAATACAGTATTGAATATAACTTTTTCAAATGTCTTGTTTGTATCGGTATAATAAAACAGTTAAAGTATATCACTGAGGGAGTCAGCAAGATTCCAGTTCCCCTCGAGCAAGCCTATTTCCCTCGGCGCAAGCGCCTCGGGAAATAGACTTACTCTTGGGGAACTGGAATCTTGCTGACTCCCTCAATGATATACTTTAACTGTATAATAATAGCATTCACGGTGGGTTTAATTTGGCAGAAAAATGATAAATCGTGAACATAGCAAAATTAAAACCATAGTGATTATTTGCCGATCTACAGTATATAAATTGCATGCATCTTTATATGTGAGCATACAAGTTTGTTCAAATCATAACTCCTAGTGGTAGGGTGAGCAAATGAGAGTCAATGGTTCATTTGTAAAATAAATTTTGTAATAAATACAGTTTCTTGATTCATGGAAGTATTAATTACAGAATGACAAAGTTTGTATTAACTACTTGTTTCAGATGGACACCAGGCAAGACAGTGTGTTTACCTTTGGTCTCTTTTTGCTCTGTACATATTCCGCCGTAGCTTTGTCCCAGAACTGCTCATAGCCTTCATTGATCGAGTAAATCTTTCCTCTTGGTTTGACTTTTATGTCGGGCTCAGTCAGGATAAATTCTCCAATGGACTGAAAAATTTAAAATATTAAAAGCAAAATTAATTTCCTTGAAGACAATGTCTATCACAGTATTGATACCTCAGCAAAAATAATTGAGAATGATGCAATTATACATGCATTGTCTTAACTCAGACCCATAATCCATAAACTGAAAACAGAATTTAGTCAAATTTAAAATTCTTATATCTTGATTTCAATTCAAAAAATTTGAAAGTTGCAAGTTTATAAAATATCAGAATTCACACACTCAGTGAAAAATTAAATGTGGTCTTAATTAAAAAAATTAAACAGATTTTGAAATTTTGACGTTGAGGGTAAATCTATCTTGAATTCTGCAAGCCACCCCCTTTTTCAGATGAATGGATTAAAAGTTTTAAAAGATAATTTTGTGATTTTCTTCATTATTATGAACCTGTAGCTCCGCTGTGGAGTGTTGAACAGACTTGCATGTAATTAGTCATACTGCAGATGCTGCACATGACCTATATTTTCTGCACATGACCCATGTTTTCTGCATGACCTAAATGTGTATTTTCTGCACAACTTATACTTTCTCAAAAAACATCTAGACATCTGAGGCAATGTTCTTACTTGCAAAAAGATCATATTATAGATAGTAAGACAACTCCCTGGGTATTAAAAACTGAATAATGAAAGGAAAATCTAACTTACCGGATCAAGCATGAAACCATTAACACCGTTTCCAATGGACAGAACAATCATTGTGGCACTACCGTATAAGGCATACCCTGCCCCCACCAACTCCCGCCCACTCTGTAAGCAATCCTTCTCAGTGGCAGGCCCATCATCTTTCTGCAAAAAATTAGTAAAGAAATAAGGTTTTCACATGCATATCTCAAAAAAAGTGGACATCACTTAAGACCACTATAGAACCTAGTAAATAAATTTGTAAAGATTTGTTCATTACATGTACATGATTGTGAATTTACAATTCTTGTACATATATATTTTAAAAACAGGTATGTACAAAGTACCTTGAAGTAACTTTAGTGTAATGTTACCTTTCTGTAAATAGCAAAAATAGACCCAATAGACACTAGACAGTCTATGTTTGAGGATCCATCCAAGGGGTCAAAGGTTACTATATATTTGCCCTGAAAGATACATATAAAATAATTTTTTAAGAGTTACTGATAAGATAAGTTCACAAAAAAATTACCATTACCCATTACAAGTATAATGACAATTGGTTTCAAGTATGCACTATGAAGTCAATGTTTTGTATTAATGGAAAACTCCAATACTGCAAAATCATTTTGGTTGATGGGAATTTTATTTTGTGGTTGAAGGACAAACATGAAAATGATTTTAAATGTTAATTTTTAATTCAATTTTAATAATTAGTCTGGGACATAAATTTGTTTGTCTTTTCATACCATGAAAATTGAACCCCCCAAAAAATTTGATTTCATAGTACACGTCCAATCGAAACATTGAAAAATAGGTGCAAAATGGCATTATATACAGTGAAACATGCTCATAATGAATTGATGCTTACAGCAAAGGATTTTCAATACCTATAATGACTTTAAAATATATGTATTAGAAACTTATATAATGAAATATACACTTAAAACAAAGCAAAATCGTCAGTCACTGACGCTTCATTATAAGTGACTTTTACTGTATTATAGTTTTCATGAAAATTTCATAAAGAATTGCTGCAAGATATTAAAGGGATGACTACCATTTGTTGTTTAATGTTTTTAAAAACACTATTAATGCACTGTTTCAGTATCTGTAGATGATTCTTTATATATTTACAACAAGTATACAACAAAACTTGTCCAGAATGTCTATTACAAAGTCAATTATAAATTCCTATATTAAAGGTCTATAAAGCAGTTGTTTGAAATGTAGCCGGATTAGACTTGTTTACGGTTCGTACCCTTTTCTCTGGTTCCACAACAATTGCGTGATCATTTTCCTCTGACACCAGGAGACAAGTTAGAAAGGAAGACTTGAGCATGTTAATAAACAGGTCATTGGCCAAAACATCCAACTTTTTCTGGTCATCTCCAGACACATTCTCTGTACCGGACATACCAAATCTGGGAGATGGTGGTAGAGAGAACATATGAATGAATGTAAAGGTATATTGGCAATAGGGAAAGTAAGAAAAAAATCCTGTCTATAAATCAGTTGACCAAAACAATTAATTATTACTGGGTAAATGACATATTATGTTGTGCCTGTATGAAAAAATTATCCTTTCTATCATAAAGATTCAAACTTTCAATCATTGTTAACCATCAGTAGGGTTAAGAATTGGTCTGGCTTGGCTAATCTCAGAAAAGGTTTCATACATCTCCCTAGTAAAAAAGCTCAAGGCCACACCAATTTAATTTCTTGTTCGTCGGACATTTGATGAAAAAAAGTACGAGCGGGCTAGCAGTTAAATAATAATATTATTACTTTTTGTAGCCAAAATTTTTAGGCGGGGCGTGAAAAAATTTGAGTGGACAATTATATTTTTTCTGATTTGCAAAGTAAGTATATTAAAAGTATGATAAATAGAGTGGAAATGGAACAAAAAACGGCACAAAATTCCCATGGTGCGGGAATTTTAAATTAATATTATTTGCATAGTTTTGTTTAAATATGAGCGGGAACATACTAAAGACCTGATATATTAAAGACCTGATATTTTGACCTGATGAAAAAAATATCAAATAACATTATCAATTTAAACATTCTGTTTGGATTTTTTGGGAGAAAATTATTGATAATACTATACTTCAATACACTTTAAATATAACATTGAAATTTTTTTCTTTGTATCAAGGTGTTCTTACAAAAACTTGTTTACCTGATATGATTACTAGTGAAGACCTGATATTTTTATAAATGACTTTCAATGGAAGGATTTGAATGACCTGATATTTTTTTTATTCTTTTAGAAAAATTAAACAATTTAAATGGTTTTGAGACAAATTTTTTTGCCAGAATTAAAGAAAAAAAATGACCTGATGATTTGAATGAGATGACCTGATGATTTCCTACTAAAGACCTGATATTTTTTAATGACCTGATATTTTTGAATGATGTGATGGGTTCAGATGACTTAATTTATTTTTACAGTATATTTTTAGGAAAATAAAGCAGATTTCAATGTTAAACTTGATAAAATTTGAATACTTGCAGCAATTCCATTTCATTTAAAAATATCAGGTCTGTAAAGTAAAAATACTGTAAACCAACTTTTATTCGCGACGACTTTATTTCGCGATTTACCGGGGGTTAACTAGTTCGCGACAATTAATTTTCGCGATCAAGCCTATTTAGGTTCTTTTGTTAATAGACACATAGACTTTAAGAACCGGTTTGCGGCTAGAAATATTCGCGATGACGAGACTCTCGCGAACTTCGCGAAATTTTCTCGCACACGAATAAAAGTTGGTTTACAGTATCAGGTCATTCAAAATATCAGGTCATCAAGTTTTGTGAAAATTAATCTTAATATATAGCAAAAAAATCTACTCATTATCCACTAAAAGTGTATTTTAGTATAGTATTAGCTACTGTCATTAATATTTTTGCCCCAGAAATATGAAATTTAATGTTTAAATTGATAATTTATATGAAATATTTTTTCATCAGGTCAAAATATCAGGTCTTTAGTATATCAGGTCTTTAGTATATCAGGTCTTTAGTATGTTCCATATGAGCGGGCAGATCCGACGAACAAAAAATTTTATTGCTGTGCCCAAATGAAATATATATACCAAAGGGAAAAAAAATAAACACCTCGACTCGAATGCTCTTGATCAATCGAGTCAATATACTTTTAAGTTTATCTACTGCAGAGAGATTGCTTAATCAGGGATTATACCATGTCATTTGTTGTACAGAGCACTGTAATCAAGAAGAGCAGGAAATCGGCTGTTGTCTGTAACGATGACACAGAACGGTGAATCTAACGTATCCGATTGCTCATGAAAAGATCAGTCATTTATTAAACTTGTATACAAAGCTTCATCCTCAGGGATTTCAAAATTGTAAACCTAATTTCTATGTATATTGCATGCTTAGTATTTAAGGTATTATTTTGAAAACTACAAATGCATAGGAGGGGGCACCTGCACTTCAAGTGGCTGTGATTGATTTGACACTAATACAATTGTACATAACGTTTAGTCATTTAAGAATTATTTTGTCAACTATTTTTCCCCAAATAAAATAAATAGTTTTTGCGTTAAATGTTGTGTTTTCTCTTAGCAATCAAGTTTAACTGGAACAGATATTAAACGGAATACTTAAGTTAAGCTAGGTTGTTTTTCTGTTTTTAAAATTTTATTTTCCACAGGATTCAGAAACTGACAATAAGATCAGTACAAAGTCCAAGGTCTGTAGGTACATACATTTTGTGAATGCCTGCTTTCCTGACAGCCGAGGACACCGCTTTCACTGCCGTCTGTATGAAGTTGATCAACTGAGAAAAGTCACCCGTGGCCGAAGGATGCTTTTTCTGCTCGGCTAAAATGAACCTCGTAAGGGTAATAGGTTCCGTGTCGATGGGGTTAGCTCCTTTTTCACTCATGTTGAACTCTGTTGGAGAAACTCAATCCAGGCCAGAACTGTGTCAACTGCAATGTGCGCTGTAAACCTCTTATCTCAACCCTTGCTACTCGTCAACAACAATACGACCTCGACCTTCTACTTAATATGATGCAATATGATTGGTTAAAAATCGACACACCTTCTAGAAGGTTACCGAACCCGAGTTCTTACTTTGATGGGAAAAATTTCAAAGTAAAAATGCACTACGAAAAAAATTTCAAAATCTACTCACTGAAAAATTTATTTAAAGTGCGTCAAAAGTGGACATTTACAGACACTTGATGCACTTTGAAAAAAATAACCATTAAATAAAAAATTCTAGACATAATATTATTTTTGATTATAATAACTAGACTAAGACAAAACATGCAGATTGCTGCATGTATCTCATAGTAATTGCTTGACGTACTGTCTACTGAAATATTTAGTCTATTTTTATTAAGTTAAATATTCAAATAAATATGAATTTTCCTGTCTGAGTGACTGATGAGTGAACATTTTGAGACTCAATCAATCTGATGAAGGATATGGAGATAACAAACAGTATTCAATATCAAAGTCCATAAAACAAAACAAAATAGGAGCAGAGCAAATACATGTACGGACCTCCAAAACATCAGAGGTGGGATCAGGTGCCGTGGAGGAGTGAGCATCCCTTGCCGACCGGTCACACTCGCCGTGTGCTCCTTGTCACGATCGGGAATTAACAGAAAAATCCGTCATCAATTCAGTGACTAACAATTAGTATGAAAAACGTCAGTCAGCATTTGACTCAATGATAAATTGTATTTTGCTGACAAGGTCCTTGTATCGACCATAGAACTTACGAAATGGTGACTTTAAACGAGACTGGTGATATTCTTGTTTCATCACCTTGTTTGTCAATAATTTACCTCGTTCTAGAAATTGTTCATACGTAGAGCATGCTCTTGCGCATCGAATCAACTGAGATATATAAACTCCGTATGCAGGTGATGAAGGTATATTGCTGCATAAGTACGGGAAGTTGACGATAGAAACATTCCCCACCATGCATCCACCCTCCAAAGTCACGTTTATCATAGAGCTTGGCTGTTAGATAACCATTACCGTCTTTCTCAAGTAAAATATCCAAGTATGAAACAGATCTTTGTAGTGCACAACAAATTGTATAGTGCCTAGCAAATCATCCAATCAAAATAAACTTAGTTTGTTGTAACAGGAATGCCATTACATTTTCTTTTTTCATTTAGTGTTTTGAAAAAAAAAGTAAAAAAAAAAAACAAAACAACTGAATGAACTATTTTATTCACATTTCACTGATATATTGCTGCTCTCTTTCATATGAATCTCAATTAACAATCCAATAATTATGTCGGAGGACTTTTTCGACAAAGTTACGCATTGATAATTTTTATCGAAAGACTAGTTTGGGTATGCGCAAAACATCCTGAAGAAATGATCAATCCTCTTTGACCGATGTGTTTGGTTTTTTTTTTTTATTTCTGAGAGAATTAATATACATCTTATCTTAATAAGAATTTAACTACACTTTCTTGCTCTTCAAACTTTAAATTTTTCTTATTTTGTGTTTTGAAACATAAGTTGTTGGATTTTATTTAATTCATATTCAATTGATTAAAATCTGGAAAGATTTTATTTAAATCAAATTTTCTTAATATACAGTTGTTCTCTTTCATATGAAGCTGAATTAACAATGCAGTAATTATGACAAAAAAAAACTTGTTGACAGAGTTACGTATTGATATTTTTTTTATTTTTGGAATCAAACTAAAGCGTTTGCGAAAGATATACAGCACTCTTCTGCAAAACAATTCTACACATTGTACGTAGTGCCTGGCAAATTATCTGGAGTCAAAATGAACTTAGTTGTTTTTTTTGTAATTGAAATAAAAATGATTTTTTTTTAAATCAGTGTTTTGAAAAGAAAACGTTTTTTTTTAAAAAAAGCAACAGACTGGATGAAATATTTATTCATGTTTAATTAATATATGACTGTTCTCTTTCATAAAGATCTAAATGAACACTCCAGCACTTATGTCGGAGGACTTTTTCGACAAAGTTATACGTACTGATAAATTTTTATCAAACGACTAATTTGGGTAAGCCAAAAATATTCTGAAGAAATGAACACTCCTCTTTGACTGGTGATTTTTTTTTTTTTTTTTTTTTTTTTTTTTTGATTTCCAAGCATATTAATGCTTCTTATCTCCATTTGTGACATGACCCGGCGAGTTTTCCTTTGAAGTCAAGCATACTGTAACTGCGATACAGAACACTTTTTGTGGGCGTTTCTTATGCAAATAAGCAGAAACTGTACTGTATCGGCAAAATATCAACGATACAGTACGGTTTATTCTTAACGATGACGGAGAGCTGAATCTGTATACAGACACAAGAATCGTTCAATTCCAATGAAAGCACTGTTAGTATTTACTCAAAATCTGAGGTAAATTAAGAATAAAATTTTACAACGTAAAGTTATTAGTGACGGATTCAAAAATTTAAGAAAGGAGGGAGTGGGACAGTTCACAAATGATTACTTTGACCCCCACAAAAAATAAGTGGAAACTCGTATATTTCGGGGGAGGGGGGGGGGGGTGATTTATAACCAACACTATGTATAACGACACTATGTGGTGCTATCGTTTCTTGTTGATAAATTAAAAAGCGTATGTATACAAGTTTAGAAAAAATCATTTACGAAAGCGAAAAAGAAAAAATCTCAAAGGAGTGTTGAGGGGGGGGGGGGCACCAGTGAGTGCTGGGGTCCCCTTCGGTTACTCTACATTTTATTAAAAACGTGAAGGTAAAATACCCTTCCCCCCCCCCCTCCCACTTTCCTTTCATCTGTTTACTTCAATTTTTTTATATTACGACAGGTGGAGGACATCGTCGGACATTTGCCTCAGAATACGTTTTCCCAGAAGTATTTTTGTTTCAAAAACATTCCCACATGATTCTTATATATCAAAATGTTTTGCATTAAATCGTAGTTTAAATTAAAAAAAAATGTCGATATAAACAGCTGAATAGAGAAAAAAAACCTACGCAATCAAATCTAATTTTTTTTTTTGGAAAACAAATTGTATAATGCATCCCCCTAAATAATTATTCTAAAATGATAAATACCTGCACGTCCACCTCTCTCGGCATTTCAGTTGTGAATGCTTAAAATGGGATTCTGCAAAATCATCTGAATGGTTGAGAGATATGTACCCAAATACGCATGTAAATTAGTGAGGTCATTAGAAAGGTCATGTCACAAATCATTTAGAATACTCGTTTCCTATTGTATCAGAGATACAGGGCGGGGCCCGGCTCGAGCTATCGCTCTCGCCTCAAGCCCAGCCCTGTATCTTTGATACAGTAGGAAACTCGTACTCTAAATATAACATATTTCATTAATAAGAATTTACCTACACTTATATTGCACTGCACTACAATGTAATGTCAATCAAAGATTAATATGTTCAATTCTGTTTTACGTGATTTTTTTTAGGTCACCTGAGTAAACTTAGGTGACCTATTGCTATCCGTTGTTGTCCGTCGTCGTGCGTCGTCCGTGCGCCGTGCGTTAACATTTGAACATTTTCAGCTTCTACTCTGAAATCACTCAACCAATTTCAACCAATTTTGATACAAAGCATCTATGGGTAAAGGGGAACAAAAATTGTGAATTTCATGGACCCTGCCCCCCTGGGGCCTGAGGGGTGGGGCCAAAACCACTAAAATTAGTGCAATCTTTCAAAATCTTCTTCTATGCTCCTGGACATCAAGCAGTCAAACTGTTGGCATGATTGAAATCAGCATTAAGTCCTCTACCAAAATTGTGAAATTCATGGCCCCAGGGTCAGGGGTGCTAGTGCTAGGGCGGGGCTAAATAGACTGTATAGTGAAAATGCATTATTGCTTTGAAAACCTTCTTCTCTGCTCCTGGGCATTAAATATGCAAACCAGGTACATAGTTATGTTGAATAAGATTGCCTCTTCCAAAATTTTTAATTTCATGGCCCCAAGGTCAGGGGTTCCGGTGTTAGGGCGGGGCTCTATTCTATTGATTATATAGTGAAAATGCATAAATTCTTTAAAAATCTTCTCCTCTGCGTCTGGATATTAAACCAACGAACTATGTACATAGTTATGATGAGGACGGATGCTTCCTCCCAATTTGTGACTTTCATGGCCCTTAGGTAAGGGGTTCTGGTGTTAGGGCGGGGCTCTATTGGTTATATCTGAAAATGCATTAATTCTTTGAAAATCATTTTCTCTGCTCCTAGGTATTAAAGAAACAAACTAAGTACATAGTTATGATGACGAGAATGCCTCTTCCAAAACTGTGAATTTCATAGCCCATGGGTGAGGGGTTCTGGTGTTAGGGTGGGGCTCTTTAATTGTTTATATAGTGAAAATACATTAATTCTTTAAAAAAATCTTCTCTTCTCCTGGGTACGAAATAAACTAACCAAGTACATGGTTATATTGAATAAGTCTGCCTCTTCCAAAATTGTGAATTTCATGGCCCCAGGGTCAGGGGTTCTGGTGTTAGGGCGGGGCTCTGTTGATTATATAGTGAAAATGCATGAATTCTTTTAAAATCTTTTTTTCTCACCTGGGTATTTAACCAGTGAACTATGTACATAGTTATGATGAGGAAGGATGCTTCTTCCCAATTTGTGAATTTCATGACCCCTGGGTCAGGGGTTCTGGTGTTAGGGTGGGGCTCTATAATGATTATATTGTGAAAATGCATGAATTATTCGGAAATTTTTTCATTTGCCCCTTGGTATAATGCCAATGATCTAAGTATAAATTTATGATGAAGAAAGGTGCCTCTTCCAAAATGGTTAATTTCAGGGCCCCTGTGTTAGGGGTACTGCAAACGCGGGGGGGGGGGGGGGGGGGAGGTGTTACATAGTCTGAAATAAAGTAATACTTTGAAATCTTCTGTTTGATATTATCACCAATTTCTGATGAAATGACATTTATAAAATTTCCAAAATTTTGAAATATGTGGCCCCAGGGTCAGTGGTTCCTCTGGGTTGATGTGCACAACTGGTGGTTATAAAGTGGAAATGTATTTTCTCTCTTACTCTGATCTGC